CTGTCTTGCCTCTCTCTGTCTTGCCTCTCTCTGTCTTGCCTCTCTCTGTCTTGCCTCTCTCTGTCTTGGCTCTCTCTGTCTTGGCTCTCTCTGTCTTGGCTCTCTCTGTCTTGCCTCTCTCTTGCTTCTCTCTCTTGCCCCTCTCTTTTGCCTCTCTCTCTTGCCTCTCTCTTGCCTCTCTCTCTCTCTTGCCTCTGTCTTGCCTCTCTCTTGCCTCTCTCTTACCTCTCTCTCTCTATCTCTCTCTATCTCTCTTGCCTCTCTCTCTTGCCTCTCTCTCTTGCCTCTCTCTCTTGCCTCTCTCTCCCTCGCTCCTCTCTCTCTTGCCTCTCTCTCCCACTTTCTCTCGCCCAGTCTCCCCAACCCATCACTTCTCCCATCCTCTCTCACCATCTCCCCCTCGCTGTCCCTCTCTCCATTCCCCCTCCTTTTTTCTCTCGTTTTCTCTCTTCCTCTAGCTCCTTCTCTCGCTCTCCCTCCCTCACCCCCCTCGCTCTCCCTCTCTCGCTCTCCCTCTCTTCTTCTTTCTCACTACAACTCACATCATATTCTCAAATTATATTATTTTTTAAAATTTTCTGTGTATTATTATCTTAATTTGGCATTTTTATCATATTTCTACGTCCATTATTTTGTATGTTTCCTTGACTATTAATCACTCTTTGCCGTTCGGCTACTTTGGATCTGTTTTAAGTTTTGTCCTCTTCTGCTTTTTCACTACAATTCACATCGTCTTCTCAAATTATTGTATCTTTATTTTTTAATTTTCTGCGAGTTTTGATCTTAATTTAGCGTTTTTCTTCTCATCTATGTCTTTAACGTTCTCTCTTTTACTTTCTTTCTTACTAACGATACTCTTTGAAGCATTCTTATAAACTTGCTCTTTCAAGCATATTGCGTGAATAAAGTGCTCTTGAATTTTCACTAAATACATACAATAATATTTTTCTAAATTGAATAATCGTTTATCGATATTCCTTCATGACAGATGAAGTTTTTAAATTGCATTTTTACGGTTTTAAGTCGGTTTGCCACTTTTAAATCAATTTTTTGTCGACTACAGTTTGGGTACGTATGTAAACATGACATCCTACACGCCTAAAATCCTACACGCCATAACTCCTACACGCCAAAAATCTGTGACAAGGAATGTACGCATTGTATTTCTCTTTTTACGAACGGTAAGTACCAACACATTTTTTTAGCCATGTAAATGTTTGCATTTCATTAAATGGCATTTAAATGTAACTACCGTTCACTGGGCTGTACGGAAAGGCAATACAGAAATAGTATGCGAGAAGACGATTCCGTGCTCTTTCATAATGGCAAAGCAAAAAAGATATTAATTCGACTGAAAGAATTATTAACTAACTTTGTGGCCAAATTGGCAAATTAATTCTTTCATCTGAACTAAATCACAACAACATATTATAAAAATATTCACAAATTTAAAAGATTAGTGGAACATAACAATTTTCATAATTTCTAAGGTTACTGTCGGGGAACTTAAAGATTTGGTGCTTTTTTGTGAGAAATTGATGTTCCTCGATCTGACTGATTTAGCAACCAATTCATTTTTAAAAAGTTTCTTTGATTATTGGGGATTGTGCTTTATAAGCAATGGTGGAAATTTGACTTCGGTTGAACTCTGAAGTTTCAAAAATAAAGTTCTCTCTCTCTCTTTCTCTCTCTCTCTCTCTCTCTCTCGCTCTCTCTCTCTCTTTCTCTCTCTCGCTCCCTCTCTGCCCCTCTCTCTCTGCCTCTCTCACTCTCTGCCTCTCACTCTCTGCCTCTCTCTCTCTGCCTCTCTCTCTGTCTCTCTATGCCTCTCTCTCTGGCTCTCTCTGCCTCTCTCTCTGCCTCTCTCTGCCTCTCTCTCTGCCTCTCTCTCTTTGCCACTCTGTGCCTCTCTCTGCCTCTCTCTCTGTCTCTCTCTCTACCTCTATCTCTCTGGCTCTCTCTATCTCTCTGACTCGTACTTGAAAAGACTGCAATTTCAATATTAATTCGGTATATATCAATCCAACATTTCAATCATAAATTCCTGTTTTTCTGTGTACAAAAACAAGGATGAGACACACGTCAATTTGCTAAAGAAAAACCGCCATCCGGAACTTACCTTGCTAATTAGCTGAGTATTTAATAATAGTCAAATCAATATTGCCATTCGTTTTGGAGCCTTTCGGAACATCCAGTGTCATGCTGTATTAGGTGTCGCCACTCCTGCCAGAGTAAAGAAAATCTACCATTTGTCAACAGAACTCATTCGGGGAAGTTTGTCGCTCGCTTGTGACGACATTCGAATGAGCTTCTCTTCGTCTTCTTCAATGCTTCATGTGTCACACTCGATGCGCAATTTTCGATATTGCCAGTTGATTATTCTAAACGCCTCACTTTGTCTTCTCGCATGTCGGGATTCAAAATCATAATTTCTTTCCGTCTTCGACTTATCGATCAAGTTGTGGGAACAGAATGTATTCCAATCTGCTGTAAACGCTCACATAAAATGCCTTCGAAGATTTGAAGCACTTTCATTACAATAATTGTCAGTTACGATGCAATAAAAACATCTATTTGAAAGAAACTTTATCATTTGAAAGGGAGATGTATGGTGATTTTCTTTTTTGTATTTATACTGTACAATTTGAAAAACCATATACTACATTTGGGATCATTAAATTCGTTTTCAAATTCAATTATTAACACTGAAGTTCTTCACATTTGAAACATACAAATAAAACTTAATTATATGAATGGATCTGTCGCAGCTCTCGAGCAGAACGTTGTCGTGCACTGGTTCACAGTTTGTTTCTCCATCCACGTGGAATTCGAGGCAAATGAGGTGTCTATGTAAACGGTACACTCATTGCCCTTCTGCCGGCCTCTGATGTTGTTTGAAGAGAGGTTTTCTCCTTCATTGCGTGTGTAGCGCGGCAACTTTTATTACGGAACCGCAGGCACTACAGACTACCTTGTTTTTCGGGGAATCCAGTTAAAAGTTTTCTTTAAACTCGCCGCGTACCTCAACCAGCTGAGCCAATCGAGGCGAACAAGAGAGCGCGTCGCTTCTCTTCTGTCTACGCCAGTGATGTGTGCTGTTGAAACACGCGCTCGTAAATTCGATTCAGCATTCACAAAGCGAAGAGTAAACGAAATTAAAGCAAAAACAATTGTTTGATATAATATATGAATAGCACGATATAATGATTTTTTTCTGTTTATTCAAATATTTAATTTTTAGACCAAGAGGATTTTTTAAGGTATGCATGGCCTGCTACATGTTCAATTTTACTGTCTCTCTCCAGAGTAGAGAGAAAGTTATGTAATGATGTGGAGAAAACGGCGAATTTTCGGCAGAAAAACTCTTATTACAGGGCTCTGGTATTGAAAAAGTGGATAAATCCAGTTGCTAAATTTAGAAAAAACATTCTCTAACACATAGTGTATTCTTAATCCATGTTTTGAGGATCCTTGATTGTTGGGGGCTAACTTGGGAGGCCATGGGCTGTTGGAATTGCTCAGGTGTGCTATAAGCTAGCCTCTTCCAATTAGCTTGGTAACTTAGGTTCGTGAACTGGGATGACCACGGCGTGAATAGAATTTGACGCAGACGCATTGCCTGTAAATTTTAATATCTACAGGAGATGTCACTATTACACCGGGAGGATTCAGATGAAATGAAAAACATGTAATTAACGTTGATTAATAATACGTCTAGTTGCAATTTCATTTTCTCTTGAAAATGTTGAAATGATTGTCCTAGCTGAAGGCATATGTAGTTGAAACTAATTAAAGTTGTCGCAATTAACATTTAGAATGAAATCGAAGGCACAACACAACGTAACACATTCGTGCTGAAATGATAAAACATAGTACAAAACTTGTTTACAAACAAAACTGTGATGATGCATTGTTGACACTTAAAGGTTGATTACATCAAGTTACTTAATGTAACGATAGTGTCGTGAAAACTATTCTTGATGGTAACTAATGAAAAGCAAGAGAAAAGGAATCAAAGGAAACTCGCCCGATGCGTCTTCGTTGCCCCATACGTCCCTGATCCTTTCTACGGCGCTCGCGCCAACCTCAGCGTCGGGACAAAAGAGCGGCACCCGCGCGCGAGGAACCGACTGCGACAAAGGCCGCCAGGAGCGCTCCTCACGCGATTAGTGTCAAATGGAAACAGCTCTCTCTCTCTCTCTCTCTCGGGAACGCCTTTGGGAGGTGGCGCTGCGTTTTCAAAAGCGACGTCACAAAACGAGGGGCGCTGCCGCCCCCTATCGCGCTCGCCGCTATCGCCGCACTCGCTGTTCTTGCCACCTCCAACATCCCCCGCGCCCGCCAACCCCTGCCCCCTGCTACTGCCGTCTTCGTCTCCACCTTCACTGCTTCTGCTGCCACCGCCTCTCCCATCGCTTCCGCCCGCCTTTCGACCCCCGCCTCTGTCTCCGCCGCCGCTGGCATCCGCCGCCACCAACCGCCGCCTCCACCGCCTCCGCTGCCCCACCGCCACCGCCGCTTCCCACCGCCTCCGCTTACCTCGCCGGCCTCCGTCGCCCACCACTTCCACACCGCCTCTAACCACCTTACCACCCCTGCCGCCACCGCCGCCTCGACGCCGCACCAACACACTGTTTCTACCGCCTTCCACCGCCTCCGCCACCGCCAGCCCACCGCCACCACCGCCGCCTCCGCCGCCTCCGCCCTCTCCGCCGCTTCCGCCGCCTCCGGCACGTCCGCCACCGCCACCGCCTCCGCCACCTTCGCCATCCGCTGTTTCCACCGCCTCCGACGTAGCCACAACCACCACCGCCGCCACCACCGCCTTCGTCACCACCGGCACCGCCGCCACCGTCCCCACCGCGGGACGCGTACCCAACATCGAGGTGGGGCCTCCTGGCCCAAAGGAAGTCGCTATTCATTGGGAACGTGAAAGCAGGAGTTTTAAAATAAAACACGTGGGCGACGAAGTGAAATGACGCGAGTAAAAGCTGCCACTGGAAAACGCGTTGGGCGGACCCTGCTCTGGAGGGAAGCGCTGCGAACAAAGCAATCGGTCTCAAAGTTCTAAATGTTCACCGCTGGGGAATGTTTTATGAAGTTGCTGGATAGTTGCTGGGAGAGGAAGGAATTGTTATCGCACTTGCTTGGAGAACGATCTGAAAGAGGGGCGTATTTTCAAAGGATGCTGGAAAATTGCTGAAACATTTATCTCCTTTGCTTTCGTAGCTTCAAATACTCACATGCACTGTAGGTTTACCTTCAATGCATATAAATGCTGGGCATTTGCTAGTATTAATTATGAAATTACATATTCGAAAATTCTCAAAGTTGTGTAATAACAACAGATCTGTTTTATATGTCAATAAACAATTATATTAAACTCACTTCGAAAAATTTGCCTCTATATTTTTATTATCTATATTTTAAATTTATTATGAATATGATATTGAACATTGTATTCTCTATGTTATATGTGCGTAATATTTCAATGTTTTATACCCTCATTCTTCTTTCTCCAAATTTTTTATTTACTACTACAAAGTACCGATTGCGAGTAATAAAACTGGTCAACAGAATTTTTGTAACAAAGAATATGAATAGTGTTCTTTGCTAACACTTGGACGCTGAATTCAAATATGAAATCAGTTTTTACCAACCGCACTCAGTTTTCGTGTGACACGCTACTCCCTATTTACGGAAATGTTTGAAAACGCCGGATATTGGTTATTTTGCTTCAGCTTCATTTCATTTTCTGCCGATGTATTTGTTCAGAAACAACTGAAATGTGTACAAGAAATTCCTATACATGTCACTGAATTCAGAAAATTCACCTCTAGGAAATGAAAAACGATTGGCAACTTTGCTGATACGTTATACTCGAACAGGTAGAATGGCGTTGTTTCTTGCCTTCATGACGAACCAACATTTGATGCTTCTTGTTGCTCAAATGAACCACATTTTTGTCTCAAGGGGATATCAACGATCTTGTTTGAAATATATATTTGTCGTAGCATCAATCTGAGCTTTTAGCTTCGCGACTAAAAGTATGTTGTCTTCTTTCCCCCTGTCTGAAAGTCAGTGTTTTTCGTGATCGCAAGATCCATGATGGAAAGTCTTGGCCGTAACTGAATGGAGCTTGTTCATAGATTCTAGCAAAATAACCCTCAAATCTGTACTTCACAATGGGACAATTTCCTTTGGTTCCGATTGTTCATGAGTTTATTTCGAAAGAGACATATGAGAGCACTAAACTGCTCCTCATACCTATCAATTATGAGATTTTCGAATAGAATAAATGAAAATACCTCAACGTAATTGCAATTATTCTCGGCATGTAGCTTCGGTATGCAGATCACTGCTGAATTCCATACAGCAGAGACAGAAAAAATCACTATTGTGAAAAAAATGGCCTACTCGGATTGAACTACTGCCTGGTCAGAGAAATGTGGTTAATACACCTCTTGTTGACCCCAAAAATGTGTACGTGCCTTTACTGCGTATTAAATTGAGTTTCGTTAAATCTTTGTCAAAGCCATGAACATCATGTGGATTCGTGATTTGCGAAAGAGGCATCCAAGGATCTGTGAAACAAAAATAAAGGAAGTAATATTTGTAGGACCACAAATTAGAAAAATAATATCTGATTATCATTTATTTCATTTGTTGAGTGATGTAGAGAAAAAGGCATGGCTGTCTTTAAAAAGTGTCTACAATTTTTTAGACAACCATAAGGCAGATAACTATCGTGATATTGTACATGAACTATTGGAATCATACCACCGTACGGGATTTAACATGTCACATAAACTATATTTTTGAATGATAATTTGTACTTTTTCCCAGATAACCTCTACGACGTTAGTAATGAACATGGCGAATAGTTTCAAGTGACCATTTTTAAAAATAGAAAAACCTTATCAATGCAATTGGAGTAACGAAATATTGTACAACTGCTGGGCCTTACGAAAGGACGTTCCGAAGGCGACGTAACGTAAGAAATAAGGAAGGAAATCTTTTTAGGTACGTTTCTTCACATTTTTAACAAATTATGTTGTTGTATTTTTAACTCTATAAATATTTGGATCTGTCGTTATCAGATCGAGTCATTTTGCCAGATACATATACAGGGTGCGCCAGAGAAACTTACTTATTTGAAAAATTCCCGCGCGGTGAGTTGGGCGGTTAGAGGGGCGAGAGGGGGCGTATCTGGGCATATTTGGAGGATTCATGTGAGGCCACGAATGTTCGACATGAAGAACCCAGATACCCCACATGAAACCTCCAGATACGCCCCCTCTCGCCCCTCTAGCCGCCCAACTCACCGCGCGGGAATTTTTTCAAATAAGTAAGTTTCTCTGGCGCACCCTTTACATAGGGAGACGTACGCATTCACGTGAACGTTCGTCATAAGAAAACTGAGGCCGAAACAGAAATTCTAAAATTATATCTGTATTCAGAGGCAAACTATCTTACAGCAACAGCGTGTTTTGTTCTTGTTTCAGGAAAAGTTTTTGATTTATAGACCAGTGCAAGAAGTGCGGGGCACGATAAGTTAAGTAATGGAGGAGAGGAAAAGAAATGGGAGATAACAGCTCAGCTACCCACCATCAGATTCGAACGTGTCAAATTCGGTCGCATGTGGCTGAATTCAACCGAGATGATAGAGATAGAGAGATACACAAGTTAATTTACTTCGGTTT